TTTAACGGATACCAAGCTTCTCAGAAGAATGACTAAAAATAGCATATTGAATTCCGGCCTACTACCCAAAAGTTTATTATCAATGCCCTAGTGGGTACCGAGCAAGTGTGCTTGCAGTAGTTACCCAATTAGTGTTTTGAAAAGGGCTCTGAAAGGCCACTCTTCTAGCTTTCGCTGTGACTGTGCTGCGCCTACCCCGCAGGCCTGGCGTTTTTTTTATCGTTCATTTTAAACAAATTAACTATTTTTATTTATTAATTATTTTTTGCGTGAGAACGTGGGCACTATCTTCCCGTGAAGCAATATAAAAACTGGCGCAAGGGCAGCGCAACTCAGCAGTTGTATCGTAGAACATTAGTAATAGATTACTAATGGCTATGACAGAAATCATTTAGCCGTGAAACAGAAGCATATAGTATATACTTACGCCAGCCAGCCAGGAGCGACGCCAGGGGTGGGCACGGAGTGGCTGGAGTTGCCCCCTCCCCCAAATTTACGCCTGCCCTTGCCCCCCCCCCCCCCCCCCCAGAGGAAACGTAGTCATAACACAATGACAGTTTCCCGCCTCCCTGCCCCCCCTCCCGAAAGCACTCAATCATGGGTCTCCCCCTCCCCCCTGATAAACTAATCCTGGCGCTGCCCATGCAATAAGCACCTACACGTTATGACATACAACCTTCTCTCACTCATCTGTGTGCGATTGCTTGCGTATTCTAGCTATCCCCTTTCGCCCTTTCGCTTCCCCCTCCCCCTCCTCTGTTTTCATGTTTCTTTCGCTTAATTTCTAAGACATGTCTGAAGTGGCAAGCACTGCCGACACTTTCCAGCTTTCACGATTCCCTTTTCATTTCTCGAGAGCACAATGCTCGTTTTTCACTATAACGATCTTTTTTTTTTTTTTGCCGGTATAAACGCTGAGAACAACGCTCCCAAACTTTCCATTGCCTCGACCTGTTTTATCCCGAATAAAAGAGCCGTCTTCGGGCATACTGCGATCCCCCATATAGCGATGGCCTCACCGACGGCTTTCTCCTGCATCATCGTCCCAACGTCCGGTAATGTTCGAGCGAGAGTGGGCGGACCCCTCCTTTCTCCCTCTTGCCATCGCACCGATTTCGCTCAATTGGCGCCACTCGGGCGCCTGCCCACGGCGTGACTCAACGCGGCGCGCCGAAATAATCGCAGGCGCAGGTAAAGGGCCAGTTACCGCCGCGTGTCGATCGACGCTGCGAAATGTTTTCCCCAAAAATATCTGAAAGCCTAGATCGCTCAGCACACACACATAGAGAAGCTCATAGACGCATCAGGTAGACACACGCAGTGCCATCATCCAATTAGCATGTGGAAAGTTGAAGAAAGAAGTACTCGTTAGTGGTCACTCTGCTTTCATGTACATGTAAGTTGAATGTATAGCCTTGTGAAAAAGAAATATATGTATGTATGTATGTATGTATGTATGTATGTATGTATGTATGTATGTATGTATGTATGTATGTATGTATGTATGTATGTATGTATGTATGTACAGGGTGTGTGAAGAAATGTGCCCAAAAATAATGAATAATTACAGAAAGAAGGTATCTGCGTGCTAGCTGTGGCGCTACCTTTACTGTGGCGGAGGCAGTGGCGTACCAACTCTTTCGCGAGTGGGGGGCAAACAACCTGCCTCACTCGTCAGCAGGAATATATATATATATATATATATATATATATATATATATATATATGTATATATATATTATGTATATATATTATGTATATATATATTATGTATATATATATTATATATATATATATATTATATATATATATATATATTATATATATATATATATATATATATATATATATATATATATATATAATATATATTATATATTGCCTACAAGAAAAGTCATCACAGCACAGCAACGTTGGCAAAATTTCACTATGTTGAAACAGGACCCTGTTTCTCCCGTAAGAACATAATCGAGTGATTACTGTTGTGATAAAAAACTACGCCTTACTTGTTGGTTTCCCCAGCATACAGCCAAAAGTGACGGCTGTCGAAAGTGAGGGGCTCAGCCCCCAACTTCTCTCAATGGAGGGCTCGCGACCCCCTTGACCCCCCACCCCCCCCCCCCCCGGCTGATACGCCTATGCTTCCCAATGTACTCGATTCCACTGCTTTCTTCGTCACCACTTTGCAAACTTCTGTCAACGCTCCTAGTTACCATAAGCGAGGCTGATCAGGTTTATCAGAGTCTAGAGCGGAAACCTTTTTTTGGCGCTTCCAGTATGGCAAAGATAAAATATACCTAACACAGCTGCGCAGTCGTTCCTGCCTTGTTCTTCTCGCGAGTGGAACCACCTTCCCCGTGAAATTGTTGCTATTAATGACAACCATCTTTTTCGTGATACCGTATCTAACATTGTAAACGCAGGACCTATTTAATGTATTTTTTGTTTGTACGCTGACTTTTGCTTATATTCGTACTAACGCTGTATTTTTCCCTCCCCACCATGTACCATGTGTTATTCAATGTAATCCACACCCCTCTGTAATGCCATTTGGCCCTGAGGGTATTATAAATAAATAAATAAATAAATAAATAAATAAATAAATAAATAATAATAATAAATTTAAATACATTCGTAACAATCATCGGCTCACAGCAGCTTCTACAGAGCAGTGATGATGCTATTCATTTTTGACGAAAAAAAAAAAACACTTTTCCTGAAGCACAAAATGCTCTGGCTGGTCCATAAAACGATTTCTCGTTCCCATTCATAACAAAGCAGGCTACAGCACAAGACTATTTTGTGCCTTGTACTGTAGCCTGCTCTGCAATGCTACAGCACAAGATGCGAAAGCGTCGCATAGGTGGCCCGCACCGCAAAGAGCCTCCAGAAAAAATCGTCACAACAGAAAAGTTGGATGAATTTTACTATATTACATTGTCTGGCAACATTTTCATTTGCTCATAACAATATGTGTGAGTGATTAGTGTGGTTAGTTTTCGCGTTGGTTTCCCCAGTGTGCAACCAGCAGTGAAGAGCGACGAAAGAGTGGGGGGGGGGGGGGGGCTGAGCCTCCCAACTTTTCTCAGTGGGGGGCTCGCGCCCCCCTTGCTACCCTGGCTGATACGCCTATGGGCGGAGGGCATATTCAGATGCGCGCAATCATGAATTACGGAAGTAACTATAAAAACTATAACGATTCTCGTAAGACGATTTATTGTTAACGCAGTGACGATTGCCAGTCAGAATAGCGCCGATCTGACAGGAACGCAGATCTCGTGCACCACAACAACCACAACGAACTCGTCGTCTTCTTCACTCCTCCATTAGCGTCTTAACCGGTGGAAAAAGGCGGTCGAGTCAAATGGGTGACTTCGTTCTTTCTGCGATTAGTCCATGGCCATTTTGAAATTTCTGAAATGTGGCCAATCAGCACGGAGCGTTAAAATCTGACTAATTCAGGAGGCGAAACGGAAATCGACGTACCAAACAGCACATCTACCATAACGTCCTCAACGAGGACACTTTCCCTCGCCGTTATGAACCGTTGATCTAGAAACTTCGTTTCGTGGAAGCGCTTTCCTGCCACGTGGCCGCTTATCAACGCTCGCTTATCCTCCTCCCCTGATGCGAGGGAAACAGTGTCCTCACTGAGGGCGCTTTCGATTGATATGTGGGGCTTAACGTCCCAAAACAACCCTATGATTATGAGAGACGCCGTAGAGGAGGGCTCTGAAAATTTCGACCTCCTGGGATTGTTTACGTGCATTTCAAATCTGAGCACACGGGCCTGCGTCTCCATCGGAAAGTGCAGTCGCCGCAGCCGGGATTCGATCCTGCGACCTGCGGGTCAGCAGCCGAGTACCTTTAACACCTCCTTTTGTATACTAAACACATGTCACATTCTTGTATTCGTATCAATAAAAAAAACTGAAAAAAAAACCCTTAGCCACTAGACCACTGCGGTGGGGCCCAGTTCGTTGTTCGTTTTCAAAATGAATAGTAGATGCGCTGTTTGGTGCATCGGTTTGGTTTGGCCTGATAAATTAATCAGATTTTATCGCTCAGCGCTGATTAACGGTGGCCATTGGGTGTGTATGCACATATGGCGACTAGAGTTACTGTGTATGTTCTCTAGGTAGCATATAGAGCAAGTCCAATGGCGACCACACTTACTTCTCGCTATTCGTAACTCGACGAAAGCGTGACACACGCGTTATATGATGTTACATTCCATAAGGAGTATGCATATCGTAGACAACGCAACTGTGTTTAGTGGGGGTATGCAGTCAGCATAAATAGAAAATTGTTCATTAAAAAAGATACTTCCTTCATCAAGCCAATTAAGTGCTTTTACTTTTTGCTTGTGCAACATTTGCTTTCAAATTCTTGCATGTATATACCCATCTCTCTGCTGGCATCACCTAGGCGCCAGCAACGCCTGTTCTCAACGACATGCTTTATTTATAAACACGGTTAAATAGAATGAGTGAGGCTCCCAAGCATTATGCAATAAAGTTATTTCAATCAATCCTAAACAATACAATATCAAATAATTTCGTTTTTAGTCGTAGCTAACGGTTGTAAGTGAGCAGCAAATGTGTGCAGCCAATTCAATCGACACAAGTTATTATTTATATGCTTTAAAGAAAAGGACACTTTTACAGATATTTGCTCACAAGCTAATCAAACAGCGACATCATTTAGCGCCACCGTTAACGCGCTGCAATGAAAAGAACATAACACAAGTGAAACAAATTTTGGTATAGGTACAGTAGTGCAGGCTAACAGTGGTTGACCTAGCAATCTCTGCGGACCACTGTCGACGTCAAAATGAAGTTTGTTCGAAATTGTTCTGTCATGTACGCCCCCGCACACGACGGTACGCATAAATCACTGCGAGCTATATTTAAAAAAAATAATGATTTTTTATTTCGCAAACGGCTGAAGCAAAAACAACGATTCACTGGCTGTGCCAGCAGCGTGGTTACAAAAAACAATGTTCAAGCGTTAAATGGAAGACTCCGCAGTGGCGCACTTTCAGCAACACCGGGGACACTGCTCGGTCAGGCTTGAACGCTGTTAAAGAAGTGACTGAGGGGTGACCTTGCTTTGGCGCTCTCTTCTGCGCCACGTTCATTAGTCAGTAGCGATCGTAGCTTCTGCGCCCCCACGGTCTACCTCCAACAAAATTTCGAGTCGTGGACCAGCTGTTCCGACTCAGCCTGCACGGTGAAAACAAAAACATACATTCACCGTGTGTTCTTAACGCTAATGGGATGGGTTTCCCAGCAGAACGTGTAACCATGTAACACAAGTCATGTTTTTATTGCCTGGGCATGGCCAGGCAGAGGGGGAGGGGGAGGAGGAAAGAACTTTATTCAGAGTCCAGCGAGTAGATGGGGTGGGCGAATGGCCCCGCCTAGGTTGCGACCAGGAGTCCTTGGATCCTGGCGGCTTTCTCGGCCCGATGGACGGTCCACATTTGGTCTTCGAGAACGGGGCTGAGCATTGCGGCTTCCCAGCGCACGCGCGAAGGCTGTCACCAGAGGCCGCATACTCGTTATGGGCACTGATCCCTCTACATTCCCATAAGATATTCTCCAGAGTGGCTCTGAAGTCGCAACACTTGCACCTGTCCGTTTTGTAAATATCAGGATATATAATCTGCGAGAGTGAAGGACTCGGATACGTCCTAGTTTGTAACTGCCGCCATTCGACAGACTGTCTTTTTGTTAATTTTGGGTGAGGGGGCGGGAATATGCCCCTCTGTAATCTATAATGTTTTGTAATGTCACTGAACGCAGCAGACTCTTTCCCAACCCTACCGCCTTCATATGAAAGCCAGTACCCAGATCCAAGTGCACAGTCGTTTGCGTCCCATTTCGAAGAAGCTTGGCTCCTCGGCTGTATTCGTAAACTGAACAACTGCTAGTTTTGCCTGCAGCTTTCGTAGCAAGCGCGACTCCGCATGCATCAACAGGACAAGCAACAATCTCTCCCTTTTTCGAACTAAACAAGACCATTTCCACGATGCACTCCTGATGATCTGGTTTCAAAATGAGATCTGCCTGTGTTATTTGAAGGTAGCAACCCCGCAAGTACAGTACAACTCGTTGCACTGCCGATGGCAAGAACGAGAAGAGCCTTGAGCTTACGGAGTCGTGTATGGCTGGTAGTAGCCCGTGAAGACCACGTCCAGTTCGCAAGTCTCTTCATCAACCAGGAGGCAGCAGGCCTCGCGACCGGATTTGGTGGCTGCGTAGACGTCAACTTTGCCAACTTTCTTTGAGGCTTCTTCCGCTGTTGGCGAAGTCCAGGAGCGCAGCTTTGTCGCCAGCAAAGTCCACGGGGCGCCGACAGCTCGGTAGAAGCTGTAGTCGGTGCCCTCCACTGAGCCCAGAGGCATGATGGTGATCCTTGATGGATGCGTGCCTTAAAAAAAAAAACGGCGCCAACAACACTCGGTTATCGCCTGAACGAGGATAACATTTTAGGGTGCTTCAAAACACAGATATACTGTGCTGGGATTCTAGAAGCAAGCACTGTACAAGGGGTGATGCGGGAACTAATGTAATGGCCAATAATTGTAGACAAACGCTGTCCCAGAACGAGCGCTCAAAAAGGGCGCACCGTCAAAGTCTCGCGATGGAGCGCCAGAGTGGCACCGCGAGGTCAACGACCAAAAGAACAAAAAAGAGAAAACAAACATCGAAGGCTCCCTGGGCGCGCGACTCTCTCCCCTCGGAAGCGTGGCTTCGCCGACGAACCTCCTCACCCCACATCGGCGGCCGAGCAAGCACTCGAAATTTCTAGAAGGAAAGGGGCGTGTTATGCCGGGTTGAATCATCTGTCGGGGACGGCCCTCGTACAGTCTCGCGCCTTCCCCCAGCATCCGCTGCGCATTGCGCCGACGAATTGATAACTTTCTGGAATGTCGCGCGGAAGGTATTTAACCAAGCAGCGGAGATGAGAGATCAGGAGAAGACGGAAGTTAGCGCCAGAGCGCGTAGGGATTCCGCCGTGTAGTCGGCGAAGGTTTTGTCCGTAGAGACAAAGCAGGAAACGAAGATGACTTCCACCTGAAGGGTGACGACTCGAGCTACAGGCAAGAGTGTGTGTTTACCGCTATCGAGCGAAGACGCGTGGCAGCAGCTGCGTGTGTGAAGCCAACGGGTTTTCGGCGAAGAAGTTTGAAGCTTGGAGAGAGGCCAATTGAAGACGCGAGGTTTCCTGGAAGAGAAACTTCGGCGAGGTTTCCTGGAAGAGAAAAATCAAGGGCAGCGGAACGACAACAACGCTGGACTTTGAGTGAGTGATTCTCGGAAGAGTATCCTCCAGACTTTTGTTCCAAGAACTTTGGACTGAATAGGTTTTCTATCTCTTAAGTCTTTAAGTTTCTTGGTTGTTCAATGCATGCGACGGCATTGTAGTGCGTATTGTTGTCTGTGTCCGTTGTTTCGAGTGTGGCTGATTGTACTGTGTAGTACGTTGTTTGTTTGGTGATATATTGTACTCAACTATCGTGGAGAGCGCATACTTGTGTGTTGTCTCGATCTGCAATTATTGAGAATATAATTTCGTTTGTTTATCAACTCTCGGCTCTGACTTGTTCCTTGGGACCAGCAGCCGGCGTCCGAAATTAAGGAAGCAATTACGACATGGGCAACAGAGGAAACCTCCAATAACCACAAGCAAGACGAGACGTCCTTGTTGCACCTCTGATTGCACCATCAAATGCAATCAGTTTGTCAAATCAAGTAAGTTTATGCAACGCCTGTTTCAACACACGACCGACGTGGAGTATCGTGGACAAAAAGGCATCAAGGCTTGACACACACACACACACACACACACACACACACACACACACACACACACACACACACACACACACACACACACACACACACACACACACACACACACACACACACACACACACACACACACACACACACACACACACACACACACACACACACACACACACACACACACACACACACACACACACACACACACACACACACACACACACACACACACACACACACACACACACACACACACACACCACACACACACACACACACACCACACACACACACACACACACACACACACACACACACACACACACACACACACACACACACACACACACACACACACACACACACACACACACACACACACACACACACACACACACTAGAATATTAACACTAATAGCAGTGAAAGTACTATTTAGGATAACTATAAGGTTATCTTAGAAAAAGTGAACTACATGACACACATAATGAATAGTTTTCTCAGCTACAGTTAGTCACCATCACTAGTACATTGCAGAGAACTCAAGAATACCTAGTCACAATTACACTTGGCGTGGGAATCACTCAACCGAAATAAGAGGTCTTCCACAGTCAGTATCATGCAAGCAAGCGAAGCCTCACGTGCGCGCATCTGATATTTTCTAATTATCGCATTTCGCAAAGCTCCCTTAACTCTTCCCTTTCTACCTGCCAGAAATTCGACTCGACATTCACCCACGTATATGGCAGCGCAGCACTTTGGTTGCTGCAGGCAACAACGGTGGTCGTGCATGAAACAATGAAACGCAACAACGAAAGGTAACAGTGAAATGCGGCAAGTGCAATGACAAGCGGCCTCGATAAAAGGTCGGACTTCCATATCAGAAACGGCTGATGGCCGACAAGCATACTGTAGAGCGGGCGGCAGTAATTGGAATGACGGCACGTAAAAATAGGCATGTGACCGGCCCACCTTTGAGGAGCTATTTGTGTGCATTTGCATGTTTGTACACTCGTCGGTGCCATCATTATTGCGAGTTATGCCATCGCTGCCACAGTCACACAAGTGCAGGACTCGTAGATGCTTCGCAGTATATATATATGCCTGTTATATACGTATACCTCCCAATTCCTCCGATTTTCCCGTAAGGCAATAGAATTTCGAACAATCGCCCGAGTTTGTATCAACACGGCAATGAATCTTCCTAATCTTAACGCGAAAAAACAAAAAGAATGCCGCGCATCTGCATCATCATCATCATCATCATCATCATCAGCCTGACTACGTCCACTGCAGAACAAAGACCTCTCCCATGTTCCGCCAGTTAACCCGGTCCTGTGCTTGCTGCTGCCAATTTATACCCGCAAGCTTCTTAATCTCATCTGCCCACCTAACCTTCTGTCTCCCCCTAACCCGCTTGCCTTCTCTGGGAATCCAGTTAGTTACCCTTAACGACCAGCGGTTATCCTGTCTACGCGCTACATGCCCGGCCCATGTCCATTTCTTCTTCTTGATTTCAGCTATGATATCCTTAACCACCGTTTGTTCCCTAATCCAATCTGCTCTTTTCTTGTCTCTTAAGGTTACACCTACCATTTTTCTTTCCATTGCTCGCTGTGTTGTCCTCAATTTAAGCTGAACCCTCTTTGTAAGTCTCCAGGTTTCTGCTCTGTAGCTAAGTACCGGCAAGATACAGCTGTTATATACCTTCCTCTTGAGGGATAGTGGCAATCTACCTGTCATAATTTGAGTGTGCTTGCCAAATGTGCTCCACCCCATTCTTATTCTTCTAGTTACTTCAATCTCGTGGTTAGGCTCTGCGGTTATTACCTGCCCTAAGTAGACATAGTCTTTTACAACTTCAAGTGAACTATTACCTATCTCGAAGCGCTGCTCCTTTCCGAGGTTGTTGTACATTACTTTCGTTTTCTGCAGATTAATTTTAAGACCCACCTTTCTGCTCTCCTTGTCTAACTCCGTAATCATGAGTTGCGATTCGTCCCCTGAGTTACTCAGCAATGCAATGTCATCGGCGAGGACATAAGGTACTCTCCATTAACTCTTATCCCTAACTGTTCCCATTTTAGGCTTCTGAAAACCTCCTGTAGGCACGCGGTAAATAGCATTGGGGAGATTGTGTCCCCCTGCCTTACACCCTTCTTGATTGGTATTCTGTTGCTTTCTTTATGAAGCACTATGGTAGCAGTTGATCCCCTGTATATTTCTTCCAGGATGTTTATATATACTTCATCGACGCCCTGATTCCGCAGTGTCTGCATGACGGCTGATATTTCTACTGAATCAAACGCCTTCTCGTAATCTATGAAGGCTATGTATAGTGGTTGGTTATATTCTGAGCATTTCTCTATTCCTGATTGATAGTAAGAATGTGGGCGATTGTTGAGTAGCCTGTTCGAAATCCTGCTTGTCCCTTTGACATGCATGCTTCCCTGCAAATATCGTCAAAAGACGATGCCGGCCGTCTTTTTTTGTGCATGGCGTCGTATTTTCAGCGCGGCGTAAAGATTTTCACTAGTGTTTCACGAAGGAAGTGTATCTTTAGGGGTTTGGTTTTCTTTGTTAGACACAGTATTAATGAGAACTTATAGGCAATGACTGTCTTTTACAATGACCGTCTTCGTTGGTTCTCATTAATAATGTGTCTAACTCGGAACTTTAGAAATATGTATCTATACTTATGTATTACTATATTACTTACGTAATTTATACTTATACTTGCATATTGTTGTGCCTCAGATATGCGTAATATTTGCTTTTTCGTCGACAATGTTCACAAGTATGAATGCAAGATGGCTGGGTGTTCAGCAAGTGCTTTAACTTTGGCAGAGAGGCTGAATCGTGTAACAGACAGACAGACCAAAATTTTTGCCTTTAGGTATCTCAAGAAAGACTATGGGCTTTAATAACCAAAGAAAGTGGTTTTGAAATCATCTGGCCTTGTTTATTGCATGCAGACGGCTTCTTGAGTCACTTTCGCCGCAGTACATCAGTGTCATGCAAAAAGGCATACTAAGATTGCCAAGAGGCTTTACTAATCTCTACAACACTCCCAAATAGGGAATATGCATTCTTACCTCGTATTCACATCAAGTTACTTATTATTGCAATAGCTAATATATGGACACTCTCATCTCTTTTTTTGTTGTCGCCGTCAAGTCCCAAATAGGTATATGTATCCATATATTTCTAAATGCTTCAAATAAAAAAAAATTACCGCGACCTCTCCGAAGAGAATCGTGAGGAAATTCGAATGCATTTCTTACGTCGAGAGTACACGGCGTAGTAATTTTAATGACGTAAATCAAACACAAGATGAGGATTTGTATCGTAACCATTTATTTACACTGTTATGCCAGCGAGTCCTCGTCAAACGACCGTGCCTCTGAAAAAGGCAATCTGGGTCAAGGCCAGCCCGCCGTCTGCCCGACGCGAACATCTCAACGGCGTGAACACGCGCGGCGCCTCTCTCGCCCACGTGCATTGAGTCATCGGCGCACGTGACAGCGAGCCGGCGTTCTCGTGCCTGGTGGTCTGACGCATGGCGCGGCGACCCCCATTGGCGGAATCTGCCCG